ACATGAAAATTACTCTGAATTAAAAACACTGATCATTTATTGAACAGGATGAAATCATTTCGGATTTTAAGGTTGAATTCTATATATAACTGGACTTTTCCTTTAAAAATAATGGTAAAAAAGGGCATTAATATGAAAAGCTTAATTCAGCACAGAATAAATATGGTGCAAAATGCAGCGGAACATTGAGTATTATCCTATTTAAGCTGCACAATCTATGTTAGCAGCTGATCATTCAGCACTATGAAAAATGGATTCTGTTTGGTAGAAAAGGTTGAACATGTATAACTGACCAGAAACAGGAGTACACGAAAAAACAAAAACAGACAAAGGTTAATTAACTAAGTTTTCTCCAAGACATAAAAAATCTAAGTGAAGTAAATTTGTACAAAAGCAGAAAAATTAAAGCATCCATGCATCCTTTTCTTCTTATCCATCAGGGTCATCTATCCACCAGTTTATTGGCGACAGATCGTCAGTCGATTACAGGAAACACAACCATTATACACTCACCTAAGGACTAATTAGAGACATTAATTAAACTAACAATCAATCAGACATGTTTTTGGACTGTAGGAGGAGGCTTGAGTATGCACGCATGCACACCCAGAACTGGGGATTGAACCCACAACCTTCTTGCTGTTTTCAATCTTCACCACCATGCAGCCCTTAAATAAAACATAACAAAAAAATATTTTTTGTTAAGTTAGATGTATTTCTGATTTGGAATGTTATTAAATCAATTTCTGTCTTTTGTTTTTAGAAGCTAATGAATAAAAGTTATTTGCAAGTTCTTGCCTGGCCACTAGGTGTCAGTCACTGTAACAAACTCTGCCTTTAATAATTTATAGAAAAAATAAATCCTTGTCTCTTTATGTTTGTATCGTCTGAAATGCAAACTGAACTGTAAATATGTAAGTAGATGTAATTTATTGTGTTTTAATAAATATGATGTTTGTGTATTTAGCGTCAGTCTCCCCCAACGCTGCATCATTATTAGCCTCTCTGCTGAGACCAGCGCCGCGGTTAGATACACACAATTCAACAAACAACTGTTTTTACGTTTGTTAAAACAAATGTTTTTACATCTCTGATCATGTTGGATCGGGTTTGAGGTGTAAATCTCTCATCATCTGGTTTTACCAATTAGTGAAGCCAGTTTTACTTCATAAGCAGGAAAAATTGGCCCAGCTGACTCTTTACTCACCGAGTTAGAAAAAAGAAACGGGAATTTTGTTTTCCTTCAAAAAGGACATTGTGCTCACTGAAGACAGGATAGCATTCTAATTTACTAGTTTCTTTAGGAAAAGATTTATGATTGGTTATCAACAAAAAATCTGATTCCTAATTTTGAATATAAGGGAGTTAAATTTGGCATTACTCTTCAAGAGAAAAATGTGGAATGTTTATG